GACGTTCCTCTGAAGTTTTGCTTGATGATACCCTAGACGGTTGACCAGCTATGGGTGTATTGAAAGCAAAGGGAATCAGTCAAAGGACCCATAGGCGGTTCTAATATGTTTTGAGCAATGAGCACTCAGACAGTAGCCGGTTGAGTGAAGAGAAGAAAGACGGTTGTGCAAGAAATAGCAGCCGGTATCAGAGCTCTCCTTTCTCTCCGAAAATTTCTCAAAAATGGCAACATGAAGAAAATGATGGGGGGAAACCTCTACTTATAGAGGAAATCCCTCAGCAGGCGAACCATCACCTCCCAAAAAAAAAAAAGAGGAAGAGAAGGAGGCGAATCGTCGCCTTCTCAGAAGATGACACATGTCACAGGTGCCATGTGGCAGGCCACGTGACACCTGTGAGGGGCAAATGTTTAGGGTAAAGATACCCCGGTCCACGTGGACTAATAGCATGCTGATACGTGTCAGCCTCAGAGAGGTTCTGAAAGAACCAATCCTCTGACGACACGTGTCGGTCTATGTCATTAAAGGGAAGCTGATCCTCAAACCCTATAAATAGGGAGAGATCCCCATTCATTGCACATTCATAGAAATTCTCACAAACAGAGCAATATTAATTGCAAATACTCTCTCTTAGAATTCGAGAAAAACTTTTTACATTCCGCACTTTTTACATCCGAGCACGTTCTAACTTGATCGTCGGAGGCAGAACTCCACCCAACCGGAGTTTCCGTAGTTTTTCATGTATAGACGGTCGGCATCCATTCTTGGATTTGTAACTCTCCCGAGGGATTCCAAAACCCCAAAACGTAAATAGTAATCATTTTATTTATTAATTATTAAAAACAGTAAAAATTGATTGATCATTATAAAAAGATCTAATTAAATATAACAAGATAAAAAGTCTAGTCATCCTTAAAATTACTACCATTATACTAATTTTTTTACTAAGTGATTTTGATTTATTTTTAATGTCAATATTACTTATATATCATTTATCTAATTTTAAAAATTCATTTATCAATTTTGAAATAAATTTAGATTTTTTTTTACAATTTTCCTAATTAATTAAATAATTCAGTTTTTATTATAAGTGATATTAGGAAATAAATAGATAAATTAATTATGAAAATATAAAAAATATTTTAAAAAAAACATTTATAGTTATTTTGACATAAAAATAAATCTAAAATCAGCCAATAACAATTTATTATAATGATATTCATTTTAAGGATGACTATTATAGAATATTCAGATTATATACAACTTAAAAAAAATCTGATTATATATACATACAAGATACAAGATCAAGATGGCTAGTACTTTTCTCTTCAAAAGAAAAACAAAAGCGAATACTTTTAATTTATACCATGTTAAAATAATACCATGATTAATCATCTTCGTAACATTATAACTTATTTTTTCACCAGGCCAAATGAATTAAATTGACTACTTAATTTGTTTAAAATCAATTCCTTATTCCAAATCTGTTTTTTTTTTTTTTTTTTTTTTTTTTTTTTTTTTTTTTTGAAACCCCTTATTTCAAATCTTATACTAGATAGTATAATGATTAATGGATGTGGTGATATTAAAATAGGAGGATTAATAATGATAATCGTACTCGACTATATGTTCCGCGTGTTTTATTGGTAAAATCATATGAAGTATATATATTTATACATATGGATTAAGATTTCAAACAAATTGAATAAAATTTGTAATTATTCACATGATTCCACAAATAAATGAAATGGTAGCACCAATATTGTTTTCTACAACATGTAGTGTCGTACCATGCTCTTAGCGTGTGCATCATTGTGCATCATTCCCCCAACGTAGTCATCAATTGGTCCAAATAATAATGGGTGGTGGAGGTGTAAAGGACAGGGGCAAAATGTAAATTAGGATAGTGAATTAGCGATCCCTATAAATAGTGTATGTTGGACATGGATCAGGTTGACATGAGCATCAACCATGCATGACACAAGAAAACTATCTAATTTGACACAAATGCCAAAAACTCAATACACACAAGAGACACACTAAGCTAGTGGATCGTGTATGGACATCATTTTCAAACTTTGGCACTAGCACGATAAGGTAGCTTCCACTTTTCACCAATTCACCTTAGATATAAAACTACTAAGTGGCATGCTAGCACGGCATGAGATGTGGCCATATGGCCCGTCCAGCCGGTGCATGAGTTTTTTGATCTGCAAGGCACGACTTTTTCTTAGTCCATTTTTAAGCACACCCTGCGCGCTGACAAGCCAACTACGCTGCCAACTTTAATGCCTATCTACTTAGCTAGTAATCTACATAGTACAATGATATAACAATCCACTAAATAAAGTAGCTAACTTGATTATTAATTATGTAATTTACAAAACCTCATAATTGACACAAAAACCAGAGACGATATCAGGTGCACGCCCATGTCAAGTTGCTTTTTTACTTTTGGCTTAGTACTGCGTTCGGCTGTATGTGTTTTAGGCAAAATCATGATATCTAATTATCAACTGATTCTGTTCCAATAATATTCTGTATTTAATATTGATGAAGATATCATCATAATAATCTTAATGATTGTCATTGATGAGGATATCTTCTCAACTGCTCAGAAAGTTTAACCTTTTAAGAATGATGAATGACGAATTGAAATTCTCTTCCCAAGCTAGCTGCCCATAATCAAAGTTTAAGGAAATCAAATGGAGTATTTGATTATTAATACACGGAATAGTTTCTAGGCCCATGTGATGCCCTAAGTGATTGTATGAATACTACTACGTAGTTACAGAGTTTTTTTTTGTTTTGAAACCACATAGTTATAGAGTATAATTTTATGAAATTCATGTGAAAAAAAAAAAAAAAGTTTCACGTAATATTATTGCATTGATTTTTTTTTATTAATTTTATTATTATTATTTTTTTTTTTTTTTGAGGAAACTGCATAGATCATTTTAATTTTATTTAATTTATTTGTTCTAATTTTTTTAAAGGATTTAATTAACTTATGTGAACTTAATTTACTACTCATACAAAAATCATAACTAAGTAATTAAATTTATAAAATAAAAAGCTTATGATTGATTTGTTAGCTATTCATATTCCCTACTTACCTTTTATTTTGTCCCATCGTCAATAATTGGGTCAAATTTTAATAATTTGACCATGATTTCTCAATAATTTATAGTAAGAGATTATATAGTCATTTGGTATAATATTATTTGATTCGTCTCATTGTATGTTTACTACTCCACTCATTTTTTGATATTCGAATCACTTTAACTTATGCACTATTCACGTACTCTCTTTGACTTAATTTCTTTTACTATTATAAATTGAATAAGTGTTATTACTACAGCCTTTAATTATTATGTGCAACTTTTGAAATTTTTATATCTCACAAATAATATCCCAAAATTGCACATAATAATGTAATAATATATCATTGGATTAGTTAGGCCATGTTCCTTTCACCTTACAAAAAAAAAATTATTTAGTATAAATAATTTTAGTTCAATAAATATAATATTAGTTCAATAAAAATAATTTTAGTTCAGTTAAAATCGGGAACGTTGAAATGAAATATGGTAGAGAATCAATAAAAATAATTTAAGTTTAGTTTAAATAATTTCAGTTCAGTAAAATTAATTTCAAATCAGTAATAATAATTTAATTTTAATAAAAATAATTTCAGTTCAGCAAAAATAAGGTGAAAATTTTATATCTTCATAATTTAATTTTTTTTTAATTTTTTTTTTTTTTTTTACAATTTTACTTATAGGATATTATAAATATTAATGGTCAAAATTGTGTCTCAACAAATGTGTCAGTCAATGTGATGCAGATGTAAATTAAATATAGTGGGAATACAATAATTTTAAGTTTTAATAAATTTTATGGTCAAGTGTAAAAATGGAGATATATGTATGTTTTAAAATGCATCTTGAAAACCTCGAGAAGTCAATGCAAATAGGGGGAAAAAATAGGGACCAAAGGAGTTGTATACTATACTTCCAAGCACTCAAAAGTCTTAGGTTGTGAATCAAATTTTTTAAAGAGTGAGTGTGTCCTTATATTGTTGTAAAAACGATAGATAAGAAATGCAATACAAATAGTATTTAATGTATATATATCATCCTTGAGTCAAACTAAAGTAAAATGATTTATTTCATCAACTAAGGCTTTGTTCTCTTCATCTTAAAATAATAATATTTAATAAAAAAATTTCACTTCAATATTAATAATTTAGTTTAGTAGAGTTTAGTTTCATAAAATTAATTTTAGTTTTGTAAAATAATTTTTAATCAGTAAATATCAGTAATTTTAAAGAATAAATGTAATAGAGAGTTAGTAAAAGTAATATAAATTCAGTAAAAATAATATAAATTGAGAAAATACAAGTTTATCCTCCTTGATAAACAAAATATGTTTATCAAATTGCAAAAATATAAATAAATCAACAACCTTTTGTCATATATAGTTTCCACGGCTTTTTATTTATTTACCAAAATGGCATGATGACTAGACAAAATGGCAAAAATGTAAATAAATCAACAATGATATTTTTTCATATATGGGACCCACAATTTTTGATTTATTTACCAAAATGTAATACCAACTAGACAAAATTGTTGATTTATTTACAATTTTGCCACTTTGTTTATCAAGGAGATAAACTGAGACTTCCTCATATAAATTCAACAAAAATAATATCAATTTAGTAAAAATAATTTCATTTCGACGAAAATAAGGTGAAAATAATAGAGCCTAAATGGATTGTAATCAACAAATATATACATGCGCCTATGGAGTACTTATACAATAATTTTTCTATTTTTTTTTTAAGTTGACACATTTTCTTTTTCACGTTTGTCAATGCACTATTATAATGATCAATATTACTAATTATCAATAACTAATATATATATATATATAAATTAATATTATGAAAATATGTTTTAAGACAATACTAATAAAACCTCACAAAAACTAGTCAAAGTAGACTATGTAAATAGTATCAAAATTCAAAATGTATTAACTAAAAAAAGCTAGAGGAAGTACTACACACATATATTATGAGTTTTAAGCTGTTAGATTCTACACATTTTTTTTTTTTTTTGATACTTATTAAACTTAATTTATTTTTATTTAACTCAAAATATAATTTCAAAAATAATTTACAATGCTAATTATATCTATGAGTGTAACTTATAATTTGTACAATAATCTATTCAAAAAGTAACTTTTGTAAGCAATGAGGTTATCATCCCAACTACCCAGCAAATTAACTACCCTCTCAAAGTAACTAACCCAGAAAAATTAACCTTATTATGAGGATTAGCAATTAACACCAGCGGTTTCAAAAAAAAAAAAAAAAATTAATATCAGCAGGTAAACTACTACTAGTACTACTGTCTACTGACAAACTCACAGTCGTATGATTATCAGAGCTGTCATACTTGCAGTTTCTCAACGGTCGTCGTCAGCAGAAGGCCGTAAAAATGGCGGATCCCCACGTTATTGCTTCGCTATCAAATTCCCTGATTCCTTCATTACTCAAGTCTCCAATTTCTTCTGCACATTATTTATGAATTAACAAATTATGTGAAATAAAAATAATAAAAAGCAGCATATCCTGATAAATCTCACTCTGTCTCACTCTCTTTCTCTCTCCTCCCCTCACTCCATGTTCAACCCCTTTTCCCATCCCAACCCCACTACAACACATACACCCAAAATCCCACAAAGCTATGCTTTCTCTCTCCTCAATTCTCCTATTCTTCTCCTCCATTTCAATCACTGCTTATGGGTTCGGATCCATGGGTCCCATCTCGGCCGCCTTCGGCCGCGACGACTCATTCTTCTGCGCCATTGATGCCAGCGGTAAACAAGCCGTAATTTGCTGGGGTATGTCGCCGGAAATGACATCAGAGAATTTCACCACTATCCCTCCTATGGCTGCTCTCTCCGGCGGCGAGGGGTTTATGTGCGGCATTTTAGCAAACACCTCGCAGGCATACTGCTGGGATTCTTATGGTACAGGTAATGATCTTGTACCGCCTTTTTATAGATACAATAATTATTCTTTCATTGCTGCTGGGAAGAATCATGTTTGTGCAATTAAGGGGAATTACTACTCGGGTACTAGTAATTCTGGTTCCGTTGATTGTTGGGAAGTTGTACATGGATCAAATTCAAGCACCTTAACATCGAAACAGAGTACTCTGTTTTATGATCAGAGTATTGATAGTCTTTTGTTTGTTAAGATTGTTTCTGGGGATGGTTTTAGTTGTGGTGTTGTTAAAGATGATGAGGAGCTTTTTTGTTGGGGACCAAGTTCAACCAATATACGAGTTTCCAAGATTTCTGAAAATTTTCTGGGATTATCTTCAAGTAGAAGTAGTGTATGTGGGATTGTAAAACCTTCAGGAGAAGTCAAGTGTTGGGGAAAAGATGATTCAAACTCTGATCCCCCATCTGGGGTTCGATTCGTCGCATTGACGGGTGGTTCTCGTCATTTTTGTGGGATTCGAGCGGATACTCATGGGGTTGATTGTTGGGGAGGATTCAACGCTTCATCAATACCAAAGCGTTCGGGTTTCTTCGCGATTGCTACATCGGATATTGCAGCTTGTGGTATAAGAGAAGAAGATTTGGTGTTAGATTGTTGGTTTATAAATGAGAGCACTGCACCTCCGGAGTATAATCCGCCTTTGCAGCTTTGTAGTCCTGGATTATGTAGTCCGAGGTCTTGTGATGTAGGAGAGTTTGCGTTCAATGCGAGTGCTTTAAATGAGCCAGAGTTGACTAATGTATGTATACGAAAAGATTTGCATATATGTTCTTCTTGTGGAACTAATTGCTCGTCTGGATATTTTCTGTCTAGTCCGTGCACGGATAATGCAGATAGAGAATGTACTGCTTGTTCTCTATGCCAAAATAGTTCGTGTTGGGGCGTATGTGGGCTTGCAGAAGTCGAGTTGAAGAAGAGGCATCAACGTCAAATGCAAAAGATTGTCCTCATTTTGGGACCTTCTATTGCCGGTTTTCTATTAATATTGATTGGTTGGTGTCTTTTCCCATATTTGTACTTCTTCAAAGCAAAAGATGGACCTACAAAGCAATTTAGATCATGTATTGGTAAAAAGGATCCGGAGTGTGATGCTAATGGTGATCCTAATCCTCCGATACCAATTGCACATTGTCCCGAAGAAGCACAGATTTTCCGGCTCTCAGAGCTCAAAGATGCTACTAATGGGTTCAAGGAATTCAATGAGTTGGGAAGAGGAAGCTACGGTTTTGTGTACAAAGCGTTACTCCCAGATGGGCGACAAGTAGCAGTTAAAAGAGCGAATGCAGCTACTATAATTCACACAAATATCCGAGAATTTGAAAATGAGTTGGAGATCCTTTGCAAACTGAGACATTGCAACATTGTAAACTTGTTGGGTTATTGTACGGAAATGGGGGAGAGGCTGCTTGTTTACGAATACATGACCCATGGAACGTTGCATGATCATCTACATAACGGTCTCTCCCCTCTCAGTTGGACTTTCCGGTTGAGGATTGCTATGCAAGCTGCAAAGGGACTCGAGTACCTTCACATGGAAGCTAATCCTCCAGTAGTTCATCGCGATGTCAAGACATCCAATATTCTGTTAGATACAGATTGGGGAGCCCGGATTTCTGATTTTGGATGTTTAAATTTTAATGAAAAGGATCTCGGTGAAGATATGAAAAACGATGTCTTCAACTTTGGAGTTGTTCTGCTAGAGATTCTTAGTGGAAGGAAAGCATATGATGTGGACTACTCTCCTCCGAACATTGTTGAGTGGGCAGTTCCTCTCATAAGGAGGGGGAAGGCGGCTGCTCTTATCGATAGGTATGTGGCTCTTCCAAGAAATGTTGAACCATTGCTAAAGCTAGCTGATATAGCAGAGTCTGCAGTCCGAGAAAATTCAAGTGATCGGCCTACAATGTCAGCGATAGCCAATTCGCTGGAGCAGATTGTAAAGGAAGGGTTAATACTATAGTAGCTGGTAAAATCTGATACAGCAATACAGAATGATACCTGAATGGGAAGAAAATCACACGGAAGCTTTTGGTCAAGTATAGCGCGATTACAACTGTATATGTATCCTGAGCCTCATGTACATTTTTTTATTTGCCTTCTTACATGTCTTTTCCACTTTTCTTGATTCTTCTTCAATTTATACTACACGAAGTGATGTAAATTGAAATTGTTGTTCCATTTGGAATTTACTGTTTTTCATAGAAAATTCACTCAATAATACCCTGTTGTGTAAATCATAGGGCTTCTAACCTTCCGTGTTGTATATTGGTTTCTTCATGACACTATATCTTACCATTTCGATGAAATAAAATTAAGTGTTTCGCTACATTGTTCTTAAAAAGTTAAAATCTTTGCTTCTTAGTGGTAAACTGGTAAAATTAATATTTGTTGTAGTTTCTGATAATTATCTAAATCTTAACTTGCAATTTTCTGACTGATCATTCCAGATTTTGAAGAATGAAAAACAGTACAATGCAATTTTTAATTGTGTAGAAGAACACATTTGTAGTTATTGGTGCAAGTGTCGCGCCGATGGGGATTTGTATCAGGAATCAGAAAGACAAAACACAGATCTAAAATATTAGATTGTATTGCCAAAGTAACACTAACAGCTCCAAAATTCACCCAATTATTTAAGGTAAAATGATTCCATGTGGTTCGAGCACAGACAAAATTGTTTGTCTAAAATCTTTGTTTTTTTTGGGTAAATATTGTTTGTCTAAAGTTTGATGGAAGAAAACGGTTTCCCACATAAGCTTAGGCATTAAGTTTGGGCGGGTGTGTTATCTCTTCTTTCATATTGTTTTGCTGCTTATGCATTGTACAATCGGTTATACCTTGTATCATCCATATATTTGTCTTCCCGTGTTTATTATGCTCATTAATGGTAGATGAATTTTCTTCTAAATTCTATACGAAGTTATCCCATTATTAAAATCTTCATCAAAATTTATAATTTCACTAGGGAGGCTAACTCGCACGATGCGCGCACCATAGCTAGCCATACCTAGGAGCTTTTTTTGGAGGCTGACCCAGTCTGCTTTTTGCAATTTATTTATTTATTTATCTTTTTTTAAAACCTAACTACAACCCACCATCACAGCCACCTCACCCACGCGAAACCCTTCCCATTGACGATCTCTTCGTCTTCCCGACTTCCCGTTGTCCTCTTCTTCTTTTCCATCGTTTCCCTTTTCTTCTTCTTTCCTCGACAACAATGGCCTCAAGCGCTCAACACTGCTTCGCGGCAAAACAAAACAATATCCTAGCAACAAAGAGAGTCAAGTTGTGCCATCCATATCAACCGCTTAGAGAAATGATCTCCTTCGCAATAGCAATTTTTTCCACCATAGGTGGTAGTGGCAATGGTCTATAGTTTAGGTCGGGTGAGGAAGAAGGTGGATCGCAATAATGAAACAAGGGAGAATGGGGGAAGAAGGAGATGAAATTACTAAATTATCCCCAAATAAATAAGTAAAATGACATATATAACCCCCTGATTGACAAAGTCCGTCACAACTTTAGTTATTTGCTAGCAATAATAATGAAAATTACATAAGCACATATTTAAGTGTATAAATGTTTTCACACTATTTTTAAGAGTTAAAAAAAAATTAAACGACATTTAACAATAATGAGTAGAGCTGTCAGTTTCTGACCCGAACCGTTAAACCTGACAGTTTCGAACCGATCCGAAAAGGAATTGAACTGTTTAAAACTCATTTTTTGGAAACCGAAAATCGACCCGACCCAATTTTTTCTAACCCAAAACTGAACTGAACCGAGATTGTGCGAATTGTTATTAACCCAACCCGTTATCAAGCCAAACTGTTACAACTTGAATCTGAAAAGAACATGAATCGATTACGTCTGAATCCGATAGTAACCCAACCCATTTTAAACCGAAAACCGTTTAAACCGACAAAATATCGATAAACCGGACCGGTCCAACCCGTAACCTGTTGTGACCGAACCATTTATAACCCGTAACTCGTTATGACCGAACTGTTTCCAACCCGTAACCTGTTGAGACCGAATTGTTTACGACTCATAACCCGTTGAGACCAAAGCGTTTACGACTAGTAACCTGTTATGACTGAGTCGTTTACAACCCGTAACCCAATATGTTTATGATCTAATCCGTTTCAACCCACTATTTGATAAACCCAACTTATTTATGACTTAACTTGATTATAACATGACCCGTTCCTACCCATTATCTGACTAACTCGACTCGATAATGATCTGACTCGATTTTAACCCAATATGATTTGGACCGAAACCTGCTTCAAATTGGGTAAACCTGTTTTCAAACCGACCAAGTTCAATATAAACCGATTATGACCTGAACCGATAATGACCGGATCCTTGATTACACCCGATCTGTGTTTTGTACAGAAACCCATTTTCAAATCGACCCAATTTAACCCAAACTAATTATAACCCGTACCGATTACAACCCGACCCGATTAGGACGCGAACTATTTTGAACCAAAATCCACTTTAAACTGGCTAAACCCATTTTCAAACCGACCCGGTTCAACCTAAACTGATTATGACCCGAACCAACTAGGACCCGACCCGAATAGAAACCGCAATAAAAAAAACCAAACCGAACTGACCCGATGATTTTCACAACCGACCCAAACCGATCCGCTAATCATTTCAATCCGTTAAAAACCTACCCACTATAACCCAAAACTGATAAACCCAACCCAAATCCGAACTGTTTACCCGAATTGACACCCCTAATAATCAGGGTAAATAAGTTAATAAACACATTAAGGGGCATAATTCCCGTGAAACCGCTAATCATCTCATTTATTGCATAATAGTTGCTCTAACTTCTCTCTACTTTCTCTTTCTAAAAACTCTCGTTTTCCTATCACTAACTTGATTGTCGGAGGCGAATATTCAGTTAAATGGAATATTCGTTGTTTTGAAGGTGTTTGCGGCTGTCCGGCTATATTCAAAACCTGTGTCCCCAGGGATTCCAAAAAACCCCGAAACATGTACCATTTAATCCATAAGTTGATCTATTCGCTATGCATCCTTAGGTAAAAATACAGTAGCTGCTATATATTATACAATAATGATAATGAAGTAAAGAATAGTTATAAGAAAATACTTCATTGCATAAATAGTCAATTGCCACCCAAAAAAATTGATATTTCACAGATATCATCTAAGTACTTGGTTGTAAAACTCAACAATTCAACCTAGAAAACTAAAGACTACAAGATCATCCAAAACATCTAGATAAATAACAAAACAAATTAAACGGTCTATGCATACCAAGTTAGTCACACACCAAGGTCACATTGAAAGTTTAGCAACATATATATATATAAAGAGTTGAAACTAATTCAAAAATACGAACACATGATATATCAAGATCTTGCTTCTGGCCTTTTTTAGATTATTACGATTTCATCATCTATATTGGGATTACAAGGACTGCTTGAAAGGATGTGTAATCTGTTTCATACTAGTTTAGCTGGCGGGCGATATTGATGGTACCCTAATCGCTCTTGCTTTAGACTGCAGTACAGTAACATATACGAAAAAAGCAAGAAAGATTTCATAATTTTGAAAATTAAATAGGATAATAAATATAGTTTGTATGAGAAAAAAACAATGGAATTTCTACTTAATGAACATTGATACAACATTCAAACACGGAAACATCATTTGTTAAAACTAAAATCTAGCATTTAATACTGTTAGAAAGAAAAAGAAATAAAAATAAAGGCAGACTGTTAGATAGGATTATAACAAACAAAAACACAATTTTTCTTGTTACTACTTTCTAAATCTTGAAGTTTATGAAACTACATATTCAATACTAAAGTAACTATGATGATAAATTAGCATGTTCATGCTTCTCAAAATCGAGAGTTCATTCCTGTAGAAGAATACTAATAGACCAACATTTGCATTTTCGACAGCCAAACTTAGAACAGTATAAACCCTCACACATTTTTTTTCCATGAGCTCACAAAGGGCTATAACGATTGGTTTTTAAAATGATTAGTTATTTGTTTTTAAGAGAATGCTAGTAGAAGAATCAAACTATAATAATAAAATAACATACGAAGTACATTAGGTTATAATTATATATGTCTCTAGTATATATTTTGATACATATTAACCTTTTGATTATAGTTTACTTAATATATCTTAACACATCTTAACCTCTTAATCTTATGGAGTAGTATAAGTATGTAGTTTCACCTTCTATACTTGCTTAATGGTAACAAACCTCCGAGCTCTAGAATTAAAACGGCCTTAATTCTAATGTTGCCGACTTAGAAGTTTCCAAGAGTTATTAAGTACTGGTGGTAGAGGACCTTTGCATCAATCTAATGTTCTTGCTATTAGAGGTGAAATGTATTTTAAAGTTCCTTGAGTTGTGAGCATAGGTGCAAAGAAAATCTTTTTTGGAAGTTTAGGATGTAGTTTGATAATAGATGGATGTTTAAAAGAAAGAACAAGTAGGTCATATCTGAATGTGAGTGTTTATTGCCAACTAGGGCTTATTTATCTGCAATCACTTGAATTGATGTAACTTTTTTTGTTAATGATGTTTAAGCATGTAATTCGATGTAGTTGGTTTTAGACTTTAGAGCATAGTTTCATGGAATATGAACTCGACATGTGCTCCAAATTATTTCCTTCTCAGCATCACCATGGCTAGACACGGTTGGAGATAAAATTAAGGCAAGATTCCTGCCTCAGCTTTATACTGGAGAGGGTGGCCTCGTCGATAACTGGGTGTGACAGAACATTATACAAGCCAAGGTGGTTAAAAGTATTATTCACAGTGATCCTTGCATTTTGGACGAGGGCGCCCCCATTACTTACTGTGATCTCACAGTGGTAATTTCGTATATAAAATGTACCACTTTAGTCACGGTAGTACATTTTATTTACGAAATGGATGATAAAATTGTACCACTTTAGTCACGGCGGTACATTTTATTTACGAAACTGCCACTGTGAGAAACAAAAACGTTTCTCACAGTGAGTAACAGAGATTTACCGATTTTGGACCTCTTACGAAAGACTAGTATTGGTCTGGAAAACATGATCATGATCGTAACCTTGTGACGTTAGCAAAAATAAAGAAAGCAACACTCTCAAATGACTTGAGAATTTGTTGATTTTGGAACAAGATCTCGAAAGTATGTAAACCTCACAAGAATGGAATGATTCATGCTTTGGATGACCGTCGGAAGGAAGAACTGTCGC